TCGATTTAACCTTCCGAATTAAGAGATTAAACTTTAAAGCATTTATCACAAAATTTAATTTAACGTAGCCGATATTTGTTTCATATATACCATAATGGGTTAATTAATTAAATTGTTGATTTCTTGCGCCCGTATTAATCAGAGTGTTCTTGTGTGTTCTTTCAATCAATCCGTCCGTGTTCTCCCTGTCTCTCCAACATAGGAATTGTCACAATCCGTGCATGTTATCCTTTGTACTATCCTATCCTATGTACATGTCCTTTCTGCTGCTGGGATTTCTCCGTAGTCTGCTATTCAGGATGATAAGTCTCCCAAAGGTAGCACTGATGGCCTTACTTTTTAGGAAAGTTTGTTCCAAGCGTGAAGCTTATTGTATTGAAAAAAGGACAAAACTACTCATTTACAATTTCACTTCTTTCTCGCAAAATAGATATTGAAAGGGTTTACTGCATATTATAATGTTGGAAAATTGGAGATATAAATGTTGACTTAACACCATAGCGATTGTGGCACGTTCAAATTGTACACATCTAAACTTGCACGTTTGGTACATTGTCAGTACAACACCAAGCAATCGTCGGATGCCACAAACCAAGTGACTCGTTTGACTACAGCTAGCTGCATCTATAGGGAATAGTGACCAAGTTCATTATAATCAAGCGGTGTTTTAATGAACTTTTGGCGTCTTTACATGTCAAAATTATTTGGCTCTTTGTATGCCTTTGCCACACAATATTAAACAACCTTATGGGATAGATATTTCAATGGAATCAATATTTAACTATTTATAATGGAATAATAATTCATAATGTTGTTAGTAAGGGTTGTCATGGACCTGATCAAATTAGTTAACAATCATATTCGAAAATATCATACACAATAAATGATTATATAAGGGTTATTAAGAGGATTAAGTTCTGCCAATAACAACGAGTATGAGTAAGGGGTCCGGGTTGCATCCGCTCCCCGAAAGAATTAGTTTGTTAATACTTATTCCATGTTCAATCAGCGAGGTGTGATGCCACTGCAATAAGATTTACAAAAACATTTCTACTGTTTTTTGTTAAGGTTAGTTAAATTAATATTTTGTTAGGGATATATGTTTTGTGTTCTTGTGGTTCCTGTTCAAGAAGTTTTAAATATTATAATTTGGAAGAAGTTGTCAGACTCCTATCAAATATTTCCAGAGCGCATTTACGCATTAAAGAAAAGGCTCATTGATTTTGAAATTGGATGAATTTGGTATCATTGCAAACGTAAACGGATATTGAGTAAGAAAATCACCTTTGTTTAACTTGTAAAAACGAGCAAAAATTATAAAAGTTGATTAAAAATTGACGAAATTCAAACCACTCATGACCCCGAAAACAATCGTAGTACATGCTGATTTGTCAGTGATGTCACGACATGAACATTGGGCCACTCATCTGATCTGATTGACGACGGTGCTCGATGTAGTTTGTGTGCAAATCACATGTATCGCATTAAGTACCGTACCATTCATACCCTACGTTCTTTACTTTCATCAAAATCCCATTGAAATATTGATATGGACAAAAACCTATTTGACTTGAGTTTCGACGAGATAGAAGAAGTAATTACCTCGGACAGCGACAACGACAATGTAGATCTTGACCTAGCAATATATCTATAATATTTTGTCGATGTACGGTACAGTACTATAATCTGCCTGTAGCGCATGCACGATATCTGGCCTGCCATAGTCAGCCCTGCGAGCTAGCCGTGAATTGCGAACCGGAATGAGATCGGCCTCCTCTCGATTTCCCCTTTCCCCATTTATATGGTAGTACGACTAAATTTTTCAAAAAACATACATTTATCGGCCTTGTAAGACATTTTCGTAATGAATATCTGGAATCGCTCCAGAAGAGTCGTTAGATCAGCATGTAAAGTTCCCTTCGCACTCCCAGATCAGACACATACATGCTAACATGCCCTTGATATATGTGATTATTTTCCCGATTTCTATGCTCAAATGTGATGGAAAATAGCATAACAAATCCAACAAACATTTGTAGAAAGTATTATTTATTCATATTATCTCATTTAAAGTGCCCAAAATAAAGGAAATATCAACACTTGCGGTAAATATACAAACAACGTTAAACCCTATCTAAAAAAATTGCAATGGGCATCACACTGTCCCGAATGTGTGATGTAGGTTAGTTCATACCGTCACGTCACGATATCCCATGTGTTTTATCGCCGTCATTTCACTTTGTGAGTACGTTCTGAAAAGGGAGTCATAAATGTACTTCATTTATTCCTTAACACTAGTGAGGGCTTAAAAGTACTCAATTCCTTTTCTTGAGGTTCTCAGCAATGTGAAGAGGTATTATTTACCTACATGTATTTGCAATATTTCAATGGACATTCTCTTCAAGTACTTGTACGGTATTCGATCTTGATCTCCTCAACCCAAATGGTAAGCAGGTTTTTTAAAAGAAAAAAAAATATTTCTTCATCCTTAACTTCGGGCAAAAATCAGACGATTAAAAGGTTGATAATGAAATGAAATATCAAGAAAAAGGGAGGCATTTCATTACTACGGAAGTAAGACAGGAAAAATTGTTGTTTAGGTATTGTGGTCATTGGGTACTCAGTACTTAGTATGCAGGTGTTCTGGATGTCCAATTGAAGCCATGTTTTCTCTACATAGCGTTTCATTTGTAGGCCAAATCTCACAAGCATTTGTCCTAATGTGAAAAAAATACATATTTTGCATTTAAATATACCAGCGCGCTCAGTATGACAAAGATGTCCCGTTGCGATTACGATATTTAATACAATGCAAACATACACGCTTAGTTCACTGTCAAACAAATTAAACTAGGTGAGGCGTTTAAATTAATTGTATTGGTGTGAGTGAGCAGACTTAATACAACAATGAAAGATTGTTAGGATCAGTGAATATGAACAATATTGTCCGATACGTTATGTGTGTAAGCCCTCAAAGATGTATTGCCAGATTTACATTTCTTCTAGACTAAGATTTTATATTTACCCTAATTAATCTTCTAGATTCAAATTGACTTTAAGTCAGAGTGATTTCAATGTTCGCCTCTCCGGGATTTTCACTGGATTATACCAAACCGTATTGTCATATCGTTAATATCTTACATTTCAAGATGTCACAACAAACTCCCCCTGTTTAATTGACGAGCACCAACTGCCGGACTGTATTAATTATTATCGTGCCATTTTGAATACAGCACAGAGCCACACGGTTAATCCCATTGTGCCAAGTCACAAATCCCCCAGGGCCAAGTCTATTTTGAGATAATCTGATAATCTGATGGTGCGATATATAGCGTGTGGGAAGCACTCAGCAAAGTACAATGGGCATAAACAATAACTGCTATTACGAATGCGAGCAAACATGCATGCAACATCGCAACGGTAGCTCGCTCGCGTGAATTAAGCAGCCAATCGATAACGCGCTCGCATAATAGCGGTAGCGTGCATGCACCCTTATGGCAGGATATGAGTTAAGCAAATGAAAGAAGACCAAGGGGGGGGTTGAACGGGCAAAGCCAAATTCCTTATAACACCACTATTATTATGATCGCAGTGCCCAGTTGCCGTTAAAGATTTGACGTAGTCAAGTCTGCACGTTTCGTACATTGTCAGAAGAATACCAAGCTTTAATTAAATGCCATAAACCAGGTGAGGCGTTTTAAGTATCTGGACATAGAGTTCCTGAAGTGTGATATTAAACTGGCCAAGATTTCAAGGTTACTGGTTTAAAACATTTTTTTCTTTGAGTGTTGATCACACCAGCAATAAACACTGAATGTTTACTTCTCCAGCAAGATGCTTGAATTTTTTCGAGGCGAACCTCATAAGCATGCATTGTTGTTTAGAATCAGTAGCCTGGACGACGAACAAATACGACATTGGAACTTTAGTACTACATGCAGGACCACAAAAGGGTGAATCAAATTTTCCACGTAACAACAGATTAGAAGAAAATAGTACTAAGTTTCTAATAAGTAATTGTTTGAATGGAGTCACGCCTGGTACAAGTTTTTAAATCTCTCAGATAAAGGGTCTACCAATTTTTTCTTCTCCATCTACACCAGAATTGTGTTTAATGTTATTGTTCGTGATAAATTGAACAATTTAATGTTGATAATTTTTTTTTTTTTGGTTAAAGCTAAGGAACTTGGCTCCCCCTGTACTAAATGTATAAATACACGGAACAAATACATTAAATTGCCATTTAAACATATCTCATTTTATTAATATAAAGTGTTATATATTAAGATATAAAAAAATAATAATAATGCAGGTCAAGCAGACTAAAGAATCTCGCTGCTTTTAGAGCTTAGTTTTATGGACGTTGCATGTTTTAGAACCAAATTATTGATATATAGATGAGAGAGGGAGAAAGAAGAATACTGAAAAAATTGTAGATGGACCAAACAAAAATTAAATATGCTGCAAAGGCAGGGAAACATAAGATGTCGCAAAAATACGACCTGAAGCTTGAAGGCAAATGAGAAAATAAAAACACGAATGAAAAGGAACAGATGAAAAGGGGGAGAAAAAATATATGCCTGACATCAAAAGAATTAAAAGATATGGAGATCGAGAATGAACATGTATCACAGCGTGAACAGTCTGACCAAAGTGTACATTTGCGCTTATGTAATTTAGTACCCTCAAACCTGCACGTATACTTCACTCTCAAACAAATTCAAAATATTCATCGAATGCCACAAACTAGGTGTTAGTGGGCAGACTCCATTCACTTATAAATTCCGATTATCCTAGTATTAACGTAATTTCACTTCATTTTTTGTGTGCAGTATTTATAGTAAGTAATGTTTGTCTTCATATGGTCACCCTATCTGATTAATATGCAGGTTTTGTTAAGGTGCAGCTGAAAATGGCAGTTGAGAATCCATTCAATTTAATTCGTAACACGGTAGCATTCGTTGATGCAATTAGTTAAGAATGTCTGTATGTTTTGCACGATGGAAGACGCTTGTATGAAAAGTAATTATGCCAGCACGGTCAGTATAACAAAGGTGTACGATTGCGCTTACGTAATTCAGTACCCTCAAACCTGCACGTATGATCCACTGACAAATAAATACCAAGCTTTCATCGGATGCCACAAACCAGGTGAGACGTTTGAATGGATATAAAATGTCAGTGTTGTAGGGACAGGAAGTAAAGGGGAAACGTCCCTAAGAATACTTTAGGAATAAAATAATATTTTATTGAATATGCCTTCAAGCATCATTTTCTTCAAGTTTAGTTTAGCAAAAACAAATTATCATTATTTATAGAAAATTGCTTATTGCTTGTGCTTATTTTGGCTGGGTCTTTATTTACTTGTTCATTCAAATTACCTATTTACTCAGAGAAGCCTGTTCAAGTGAAACCGAAATTACACCCAAATGGTTTTAAAAAAACACATATAAAAACATGAACAATGAGTTATAATAAAAAAGAAACACATAAAAAAGTGTCCGTACAACTCTTTTTTTTACATATTTATTAAAATAAAAAACATTCATGAACAAATTTATACAAATTAGATGTATGATATTCAAGTAGTAATAATGAAACACAATGGGTGACTAACTAAATAAGAACAATGTCTAGATTCGAAAGTATATATGGGCAATTACGTTTGGAAAAGAGGACAATCATAAATTCTAAATTTGATCCAACTTGAATAATTTATCATTTTCCATGTGGCTAACAAAACACTTATAATGGAACCGAAAAAACATTTTGAAATAGCTTTTACGTTTTTTCTGATAAAATTATTTAAAGTTGGGGGGTATGTTAGGGGGTATGTTAGGGGTTACAATTACATGATCATAGTTTTAATTTCTTAAAATTCAGTGGAGCAATGAATTTAAAACGTATTCCTCTAAATGTATGCCTTATTGAACAACATCACAAATAGGAATCAAGTTCAGAAAATCATTTTCTATAAAGAAAATAGGCCACATTTTGCAATTTTTACCCTTAAAATCTCGTTATTCCGTAACCAAAATCTGAAAGAAGTTTTACTCACAAAGTTATTTCTTACTTTTTTTTGTTGTAGTTGCAAATTCTCTTCCTTTATCTACCAACTAAAAGCCCTAAACATCAATTTCGGAGGTATCAATTTATTTCCTATTAACACACTGGTAACGGAATAACATGGTAACGGAAATACAAGAGGCAGCAGCACTAGTAATGAGTTGCATGTTTTGTAAGAGATGGACCTGCTGCTTCATGTAAACATACTGCATGCTGTGTTTCAACATTCTAAATGGATTTTGTCCCTTTTTTGAAGTATTGGCTCATTAAATTTATTGTCTAATTAAAGGCTAATGATCTGGCTTTGATAAAAAAGATAAATTCAATTGATGTATCTTTAACTTCTTTTCAAATTTGCATAAAGACTACAAACATGGTTCAGAATTTTAAATGTGTTTATTTCCATTTGATTCTGAACTTATAATTATACCAACATCTAGCTTTTATCTTATGATATTTTTTGATTTAAGCATGGAAATACATTATCATTATATCACCTAAAAGGCAATTTTAAACAGTGCCTTTTCGGATTTTTATTCTTCACTGATGACATCCAATCTATCAAAACATTTCTATTTCATTAGATGTTAGATAGCTAAGACCATAGCGATCTAGCCCTCTTGCAGAGGGTTAATTTACATACTGTACGTAATATACATATGTGACTAAGAGAAGGGGGCAGGGTGACTTTGACGATGTCTGCTAGCGCACAGAAAAAATACCCTTGTTTTAAACGACCAGATGGAGGTCGAAGAGCATGGTCTAATCTACCAACAAAATTATATTTCATGACAAGTTTATGGATGGCTACGAACGTAGCAAACCATATTAACAAATTAGTTTCGATTCCGGTGCTAGATTTTGTGGATTGAAACTGTAGTATAGAAATATCTGACGAGGTTTAAATTTAATTTCGAAAGAATGAAAACCAGTGCTCCCTCTAAAGCCGTATGTCGCAAAATTGTCATAGCACTGAAGCGTTTTTGTAATTTTTGTTGTAGTTTGAAAATGTTTGAATGCTTGAAGAGAAGATTCATTAAGTTTAAAAACTAACTTTATGGTTATTAATGCAAAAGTGAAACTTTGATCGGACAAAGTTATCAAAATGTAATGCTTGGAAAAAATCGAAGAAATAATTATTATCAATTACAAAACGCTTAAATATAGCCCTGGCATAGCGCCTGAAGAGCTCTCCAAATGCTGCTGAGATGTGTGACGTCACATGCTGAACATGATTTGCACAAGCAGACGATGTTCCAAGACATCTTTCACATTTTCAGTGCGTGTTTTGTCATCTTCTCGTCAGTTATTTATTTGACTTCATTACTGTCAGGCTAAATATTCAGTACATTGCCTCACTCTTAACCGCGCACATGGTATTATTTTGATAAAAGAAATAAAGGAATCCGTCGCTTGGAGACAAATTAGTAGACGCCATTGTATTTCAGCTGCATACACAGCGGTGTGTTCGGCGTTTCAAGCGGGAACAAATGCCGTCCATGCTATTATTCCGAGTTTGAAAGTGTAATTTCTTTCATCGTTAGTTAACCCCTATCCTGTGGATTTACAACCAAAAAATTTAGTTGTCAGAATCGGTTTCATATCTCTTTTGAATGATGTAAAATACCATCACATGTAAATACACTAAACTCATTATAGTTTGATAAATAATAGCATTGCAATTATGTTTTTTTTTTATGGGATGTTGTCTGCTTGGGCAGGATTGGTTCGTATTGTGACGTCATTAAAACATCGCTATTTTTCTGCCAAATCTCTTGTAAATCATAGATACCATGTAGTAGGTTTTATTTGTATAACTCATCCGATATGTAGTTGACCTAAAACTTGTACGATGGCCATCTGTTAGCTCACCAGTATATAGTGATACGTTATTTGCCATTTCTGTGATTTTCTTTGAACGGGCACTTTAAATATGACCGTCCTCGATGAACCGGTTCTAAAGTTGCAATTTAAAATTTATTTTGATCAAGCTTGCATAAAAAATATAATGCAAGTGGTTTTACCTTTGTTCAAAAAACCATTCAGCATAGAAAACTATGACAACTTCATCCAAAATAATCTTGCCATGGGACAGTCAACAATACAAGCCCCATTTATTAACATTACTTCATCCCCAATAGGCAGTATATTTCAGAGGATTCTTTTCAATTAATTGACGAAGTAAACAAACAATTTTCTGGCGTATTTCCGTTACCGACACATTTTTTGTCCTGGGTTGTTCCGAATGAAGAATTGTTATTTTTATGATTTTTTTATTTGCTAGCAGGTGCATAATACAATAATTTAAAAAGATAAATAATCAGCTAAGTCTAACCACCTGTCTACAGTATATAAACCAACAAATGTAATATAATATTGTTACCGTCGAGTTGTCAATTTATATGTCAGCCATGAAACGTGTAACCTACATGTTAGACTTTAACACTTTGATCAGTATGAATGTATGTGCACAGCTGCACTTTTCGAATTTTTGCAAAATTCATTTCATTGCGAAGGGGAAGCCTTAATGATCAAATGTAACAACTTCCCTCTTCAAAATGCATTTGGGGCCCGCAGTAATCATCTCAAAAAAATGTTAATTTTGAGATCCAGATTTTCTCCCTTCAGAGGAGCTCCGTAGAGGATTTGTCAGAAAATTACTCGTGTTTTTCAAGAGAAAATCTTTCCATCCATATATAATTTGGGTAACCCGACACATGCTCCGCCGACGATTGCTCCGCCGACATTTACTCCGCAAAACGCGACAATTGCTCCGCGACATTTGCTCCGCGACATTTGCTCCGACGTCAAATGCTCCGCCGACAGTTGCTCCGCCGACAGTTGCTCCGCCGACAGTTGCTCCGCCGACAATTGCTCCGCCGACAGATGCTCCGCCGACAATTGCTCCGCCGACAATTGCTCCGCCGACAATTGCTCCGCCGTCAATTGCTCCGCAAAACGCGACAATTGCTCCGCCGACATTTGCTCCGCCGACATTTGCTCCGCCTAAAGCGACACTTGCTCCGCCGACAATTGCTCCGCCTGAAGCGACAATTGCTCCGCCGACATTTGCTCCACCTGAAGCGACAATTGCTCCGCCGACATTTGCTCCGCCGACAATTGCTCCGCCTGAAGCGACAATTGCTCCGTCGACATTTGCTCCGCCGACATTTGCTCCACCGACTTTTGCTCCGCCGACAATTGCTCCGCCTGAAGCGACAATTGCTCCGCCGACATTTGCTCCGACGACATTTGCTCCGCCCAAAAAGTGTCCCATAAACTACAAATGCTACTAGTACTACGACAAATGCTTCGCCGACAATATTTTCTTTACACCTATTTTTTTCGTTTCTTTTTTTCTTCTTCATTTTCTGAATGCATTTCTTGAAATAATGTAGATGAAATGAAATGAATGAATGTTGATGAAGTGGGAGGAAAAAGGAGTTACCTAAAAGTCATTTCGAATATACTGAAATAACTTTCCATCTATCACTGTACGTCCCATATAATGTATACTAAACACTCATTACATGTCGTGGGAAGTTTTTTTTAAAAAGTAGAGCAGCAAGCCACATTCCCCAATACGCGCATACCTCCTAGTTAATTTCAAGTAGCTCATCAATATGTAATACCTGAAATTACCTCGATCAATGCATCTTACTAGGTAAAGCATTATACAATGTAATAGGTCATCATGGAAGTTTAGAAAATAAGTAAGGGGGATTTACCAAGTGTTGATCTTTTTAAGAGTTTTATAAAGAAACAAAAAGATATTGAATATTTCTCAGCGAAAAAAAGGAACAAGCTTGTTTCGCATTTTAAGAAATGGCGATTTGACTTATGATACTCATGTTGATTTAACTTTTATTCCTGTGCCCCCTCACTCCCCTTTATGCACTGGAGTTCAAACTATGATTTATATGTGTACAGTGTATTTTTTTTTACTATAATGTTTTTTTTTTATAACTTTCTTGTCCTTTCATTATTGTTAGTTGTTCTTATACATATTGTTTGTTTTTTTTTGTCTAATTATTACCAATGACTTGTAAATATGTAATTTTTATATGATTGAAAATTTAATAAAC